AGCGGCAGCGGACAGCGGAAGAGAGAAGAGGGAAGCGGACAGCGGGGGAAGCGGAGGAAGGGGAAGGGAGCGGACAGGGGAAGCGGACAGCGGACAGCGGAAGAGAGAAGAGGACAGCGGACGGCGGCAGCGGGAAGCGGACAGCGGACAGCGGAAGCGAGAAGAGGACAGCGGGAAGCGGACTGCGGACATCGGAAGAGAGAAGAGGACAGCGGACAGCGGACAGCGGAAGAGAGAAGAGGACAGCGGACAGCGGAAGAGAGAAGAGGACATCGGACAGCGGACAGCGGAAGCGGACTGCGGACATCGGAAGAGAGAAGAGGACAGCGGACAGCGGGAAGCGGACAGCGGACAGCGGAAGAGAGAAGAGGACAGTGGACAGCGGGAAGCGGACAGCGGACAGCGGAAGAGAGAAGAGGACAGCGGACAGCGGGAAGCGGACAGCGGAAGAGAGAAGAGGACAGCGTACAGCGGGAAGCGGACAGCGGACAGCGGAAGAGAGAAGAGGACAGCGGACAGCGGAAGAGAGAAGAGGACATCGGACAGCGGACAGCGGGACAGCGGACAGCGGAAGAGAGAAGAGGACAGCGGACAGCGGGAAGCGGGCAGCGGAAGCGAGAAGAGGACATCGGACAGCGGACAGCGGGAAGCGTACAGCGGACAGCGGAAGAGAGAAGAGGACAGCGGAAGCGGGAAGCGGACAGTGGAGAGTGGACAGCGGCAGCGGGAAGCGGACAGCGGACAGCGGAAGAGAGAAGAGGACAGCTGACAGCGGAAGAGAGAAGAGGACATCGGACAGCGGACAGCGGGAAGCGGACAGCGGACAGCGGAAGAGAGAAGAGGACAGCGGACAGCGGGAAGCGGACAGCGGACAGCGGAAGAGAGAAGAGGACAGCGGACAACGGAAGAGAGAAGAGGACATCGGACAGCGGACAGCGGGAAGCGGACAGCGGAAGAGAGAAGAGGACAGCGGACAGCGGGAAGCGAGAAGAGGACAGCGGAAGCGCGAAGAGGACAGCGGACGGCGGCAGCGGGAAGTGGACAGCGGACAGCGGAAGAGAGAAGAGGACAGCGGACAGCGGGAAGCGGACAGTGGAGAGTGGACAGCGGCAGCGGGAAGCGGACAGCAGCAGCAGCAGCGGACATTTTTTTTTTTTTTTTTATATTTAATTCTCTTTCTTTTTACAGTTTCGAGCTTTCGGTCATCTTTGTCTTTTGTCTCTAATTTTTCTATTCCCCTTTTATGTTTAAGGAGCTTTTTATTTGAACTTTATTTTTTATTTTAATTTGTTTCTCTTTTTATTCCAATTTGTTCCCTTCTTTTTCTTATTTTTTTTTCTTTTTTAGAATGTCGGTCTTTCAGCCGACATCAGTAGCAGCGGATAGCGGACAGCGGACAGCGAAAGCGAGAAGAGGACAGCGGACAGCGGGAAGCGGACAGCCGACAGCGGAAGAGAGAAGAGGACAGCGGGAAGCGGACAGCGGACATCGGAAGAGAGAAGAGGACAGCGGACAGCGGAAGCGAGAAGAGGACAGCGGACAGCGGGAAGCGGACAGCGGACAGCGGAAGCGAGAAGAGGACAGTGGACAGCGGCAGCGGGAAGCGGACAGCGGCAGCGGGAAGCGGGCAGCGGACAGCGGCAGCGGGAAGCGGACAGCGGACAGCGGCAGCGGGAAGCGGACAGCGGCAGCGGCAGCGAGAAGCGGACAGCGGACCGCGGACCGCAGACAGCGGACAGCGGCAGCGGGAAGCGGAAGGCGGACAGCGGCAGCGGCAACGAGAAGCGGACAGCGGACAGTGGCAGCGGGAAGCGGATAGCGGACAGCAGCAGCAGCAGCGGGCATTTTTTTTTTTTTTTTTTTTTTTTTTATTTAATTCTCTTTCCTTTTACAGTTTCGAGCTTTTGGTCATCTCTGTCTTTTGTCTCTAATTTTTTTATTTCCCTACTGTTATGTTTAAGGAGCCTTTTATTTAAACTTTATTTTTTATTTTAATTTGTTTCTCTTTTTATTCTAATTTGTTCCCTTCTTTTTCTTATTTTTTTTTCTTTTTCAGAATGTGGGTCTTTCAGCCGACATCATTAGCAGCGGGCAGCGGACAGCGGACAGCAGCAGCGGGCAGCGGACAGCGGCAGCGGGAAGCGGTCAGCGGACAGCGGCAGCGGGAAGCGGACAGCGGCAGCGGCAGCGAGAAGCGGACAGCGGCAGCGGGAAGCGGACAGCGGACAGCGGACAGCGAGTAGCGGACAGCGGCAGCAGAAAGCGGACAGCGGACAGCGGGAAGCGGACAGCGGACAGCGGACAGCGGCAGCGAGAAGCGGAAGGCGGACAGCGGCAGCGGGAAGCGGACAGCAGCAGCAGCGGGCATTTTTTTTTTTTTTTTTTTTATTTCTTTTTCCTTTTACAGTTTCGAGCTTTCGGTCATCTCTGTCTTTTGTCTCTAATTTTTCTATTTCCCTACTTTTATGTTTAAGGAGCCTTTTATTTAAACTTTATTCTTTATTTTAATTTGTTTCTCTTTTTATTCTAATTTGTTCCCTTCTTTTTCTTATTTTTTTTTCTTTTTCAGAATGTGGGTCTCTCAGCCGACATCAGCAGCAGCGGGCAGCGGGCAGCGGGCGGCGAGCGGCGAGCGGCAGCAGTAAGACAATCGAATCGTTCGTAATTCATATCATTAGCATAATATACTATGAATTTTCTACGTTATATATTGAATGGAAATTGCGCAAAAGAGGAAAAAAAGTACAAGTTTATGAATAGACATTTCCATCCTTTACTAAAAAAAAAGAAATTAAAAATGTCTCCTAATTTTATTTCTGTTTCTTCGGGCAAGTCTATATATATGACCAATATGATTAATTGATTCCATCTTTATATATTTATCATTATGTGCTATTAATTAAAGCCGTATACAATATTCAGAAATCAAAGTTGCGCGCATGAATGGCCTTGCGCAGAAACGGATGCGCACTGATTCGGTCGCCATGTTGGCGGGTGACTGTTTCGTCACTGCAACGTCACTGTACGTCAAACGCGTCATACGGCCGCCATGTTGGCGCGTGAATCGGAGTCATACGCAGTTACACGGATCGTCGTACGTCCGCATTTTTCGCATCTTTTAACCGTTTTTAAACGAATATCGCGAGTGAACGAGCGTCGAGAGTGTCCAAGGATGATCGCGCGACTTTCATAGTTTGTCGATGGAAACGCGCGACAGCGATTTTTGACGATATTCAGTGATGGCGTCATTGTGAAGATGGAGAGAAGTTTCGTCGCGTTATTCGCGCCCTTGATGATGATTATCGGATGCGAGCGAGTATTGGGAGTGCCGCATAAAGTGTCGCGCGTTCGCGTTGATGATATCGTTTGAATTTGTGTGCATCACGATTGGAATGGGACGTCCCGAGGCGAGCGAACTGTTCCGAGGAGGAGCGGCCTGTCCCGAGAAGGAGCGGCCTGTGGAATAGCCGCCTGAGTAGATTTGATTTATCATATTTGCGTGACAATTCGTGCTCATTCGACGCTTATACAGCATCGCGATGTCCCGAATTACATTCGGAAAAATCGGCGCCGCATCATAATTCGATTCGGTGCAATTCAAATGAGTCGATCGCGTGAAGATGATTATGCTAGAAGCGATTTGAATTTTGTATACGCGCGCGCAGTGCTGCACAGCCTATCTCGTAGGGTCGCCAACTGTTAAACGATAAATTTGTTTGATCTATCCTAACCTAACCTAACCTCTCAGTGTCTGGATATCGAATGTAAACATAAGCGTATGCTGCCTGGATTGTATCATGCTTTAAAAAATAATATTTAATTATTTCATTAGTGTATTACATTTTATTACGTAATATATTAATCGTATTAAATGTGCGACGTAGAATTTTACACATTTTAATGAGTAGCATATTATATAATTGGTTAGGTTAGATTAAATTAAAACAAGCTGCTGTGATTCATTTAACGTAATAGGATTAATTTGACGAATGTGCAGCTATTGAAGTTACATGATATTTGTGGACACATTTTTAAAGTAATCATGAGTGTCTTTTCTCATCTCGATTACATGAAATTAAAATATAAAATATTTATGTATTCCATATTAACGTTATTCATTACAAGTACTATATTACTACATTATAAGTACTTTTCTTATATCTCAATCATATTCAACCATTTATTTCATCGATGAAGCTTTTCATATAACGCAGACAATATGATACTTCGTGTGGAATTTTACACAGGTAATACGTGGCACAAAAATAATTTGCTCTCAAGTATTGTGTGCATTTCTCAAAAATAAATCAAATTAAATTATTTTCATAATCCAAACATCGCTACATTGCCAGGATTGTATCTTATTATAACTGCGATATTATCACCTTTTAATATGTGTGCGCAGTATTACATACATAAAATATATAAATTTGAAACGTACTGAAATCTTTATCTTATTTATAATATTCGTGATATTATAAAAGAAAATTGCAACTGTAATGAAACAGAGCGGTGGAATAATTGGTTGATTGGTTAATTGCAGGTAATTATGTTATACTTATATATCGTAAGAAAGAGAAAATAAAATAAAAGTTGAATACTGAATGTGCTCTAAAGTAAATCTCATCTAAATAAATAAATGCATAAATGTGCGCTCCACATTCCTCATGAAAAAAATACATAATATTAATTTTTATGTATTATTATTTTTAGATTTTTATTCTTTTAAATTCTCTTGATGCACTTTTCATTTCTCCTCTGTTTCTCCTTGCTCCATCTTATCTTATTGAGATCAAAATTGCGGTACTTTGTTAATTTAGTGACTTTAGCTTAAGTAGGCTTACAGTGACATCGGATCTGTTCTTGTCAGCTGCACTGCTGCACTAGTGCGATAAGTTAGAAAGAGACAAACATACTTTCTTTCACTCTAACTAATTGCACGAGTGCAGGAGTGCAGCTGAAAAGAACAGACCCCTTATTAGGGACTTTTTGTATTTCTGAAAATTTAAGTAAGCAGCATAAAACCTTTCTTGGTGCATAAAATTAGAAATTGCTATATATTATAATTCTGTGCGCGTAAAATATAATATAGTATTTTATAAAATGTTATAAAAAATGTATTGAAAAATGTACGCGACATCTGATTCTATCGATTGACAGATTAGATCGATTTCTGTACATCAGTCAGCGGCTTTTAGGTTAAGATTATAATCCAAGTTTTAATCATATTTTCAATCAAATTACGATGAATTTTTGAACATTATTAGGAAAAAGACATTTTTACATATAAAAAAATGGCGATGTCTTTTTGCGGAAGGATTGTTTCAACGCAGCGGAATTTTTTAAAAATTCCAAAACGGCACGGATACATAGTCCTGTAAGTTCATCTTTCTCATTACGCAGTGATTAAGTTTAAATAAAGTTAACATTTTTTTAACAATTATTTTTATGGTATTATATTTTTAACAATTATATTTATGGTATTATATTTTTATATAGATATTTTTTTAATTTGTATTTTTTTCATGTTATCTATCTTGTATTTTTTATGTCAAGACTTCCAGAGATAGGCGAAGAATCGTCAGAGAAAAATCCGCTACTGAAGGATGATAATTTACCGGAATTTAACACAATTACAATTGAAAAATGCATAGCAGCAATTGGAAAACAAACTGTCGAGTTTGAGGAAAAAATGAAAAGCTTGGAAAAGATGGAAAGTAAGTGTGAAATATCAAAATAAAAAAAATGTACAATTTGTTCAAAATTGAAAATTAAGAAGAATATTTAAATATAAAGCTAACAATATATAAGTTAAGGAATAACGTTAAAAATTTATTATATATGTTATATTTTTTAATATATTATCAAGAGAATAATAAATACTATCGCTCATTAATTATCTATTAATAATAATAATAACAATATAATATATATGTATAACAATAACAATGCGATATATATTAAGTCAAGAAAGACACAATATTGTATCAAATTACAACTTTTATCATTAATTTTCGTAATTCATTGCAGCAAAAAAAGATTTAGATGTATTTAAAGATTGGATACATCCAATTGAGGATACATATCTTCCATTAGAAACCACTTGGGGTACGGCAAAAACTTTGTATTTTGGCAATCAAAGTTTGATGCCAACAAAATATTATATGAGTATTCACGAACGTGCCACAAGAGCTATAGCTAGCAAATATGGCAGCGTACCACTCTTTAAAGCTTGCGAGGAAGCTCTTGATAATAAAAATCTCAAATTGACACACTCACAGAAAAGAGTGTTAACCAAATATGTGTTGGAGGGAAGATTGAATGGTCTACAACTGCAAGATAAAGAATTTGAGAAGTACAAGGATGACTTGATGTATATTTTATCGAAATGTAGAGAATATAAATCCAAATATGAGGTTTGTCATATAATTTAAAACAAATATAGCAATTATATAATATAAAGAACAGTCAAAAATTTACATCAAGTAATATTAAAGATTTTTTAAATTTTAAATCAAAAGAAATAAAATTATTATTTGCATTTTTTGTTGTTTTCATCAATGGTTACATTTCTGATTAATAAATATTTACGATTTGTATATCAGGAATAGTAGCAAACTGAAATTTAATTGACTTTTTTAGAGTTCTACAGCTGCTTACAGTATGACAATACAAAACAAGGACATTGTGATAGACTTTCCAGAGGACTTTGTTAGATCTATTGCGATTGATCCCACGCGACCTTTCACAGGTCCTTGGAAAATCACTTTAAAGCCATATATCCTGAAACCATTTATGGGTATATACCCTTTATAAATTAATTTAATTAATTAATTAAATATTAATGTTCTTACAAAATTTGAAATTTAATTTATATCCCCATTAGAATATTGTCCCGATCGCGAATTAAGAGCAGCAGTCTGGGATGCCGATGTCATTCGATGCTCCACTTATCAGGAATGGTCCGTTCAAGCGAGCGTGACGTTGGAGGAACTTCGAGGCAGGAGAATCGAGCAGGCGAAACGATTAGGATATAAACATTTTACAGAAATGAGTATGGAGACAAAGATGGCTGGAAATCTGGAAAATTTATATAACACACTGGAAACTCTTCGAAATACTGGTAGAATAAAAAATATATAACAAAAAATAATCAGAATTTAATGTATAGCGTTTATTATAATTAAATTCATTAATTGTCACCGAAGAATGTTAATATTTATATCAACATTCTTCAGTGACAATTAATCAATTGAATTATAATAATTATAATAAATTTATATAACATTTATTAATAATATATTCTTTTATTATATACTTATAGTTTATAAATATATTATTATTAATAGATATATTATTGTATACAATAGATCTATATAATAAATAATTGATATATAATTGATTAATAACATGATATTTTTGTACAGCGCTACCTGTCCAGAAGCAGGAAATTGCAAGTTTGACAGAATTTGCAAATGAAAGAGGCTTTAATGATAATCTAAGAGTGTGGGATATTGCATACTGGAGTAGAAAACAACGTCGTAGCATGTCTAAGTAAGTAAATTAATCTCATAACAACATTCTATGTTACAATATATTAAATGTTGCATCTACATGTATTAAAGAATATTTTGCTTATTCATTATCACATGTACAATATTTACATTTAAGAATTTAATTACGAGAAAAAATTCTAAATTATCTACATCATAGAATTTAAATATCATTAAAGATATTTATATGTACAATTCCATAATATTGAATAAAATATCGTTAAAAGTATTTTTGATTAATGAATGCTTATTCTTCAGTTGCGATGAGAATGAATGGAGATCGTACTTTCCGCTGCCAACCGTCTTGTCAGGTCTCTTCGAGCACATCGAGACGCTGTTCAACGTGAAAATCGTGGAGAGTAAGAGAGCGGATATTTGGCACAAGGATGTTCGATTTTTCGACATATTTGACTTGAAAGAATCTAGCGCGGTGCCCATCGCGAATTTTTATCTGGATCCTTATGCAAGAGGTGCGGAAAAATATCGCAAGGAACAGGATTCGGGATGGATGTCGACGATTAAGAGCAAAAGCAAAATTTGCAATAGTACTCCATTGATCGCTTTAATCTTTAATTTTCCACCGCCAGTAGGCGACAAACCTTCTCTACTCTCCTTCAAGGATGTACAGATTCTTTTCCAGAAGGTAATAGATTCTGATATTGTTTTATTAAACAACAAAATTAAATATATATTATATATACTTAATTCGTTAATAAAATAATTATACATATTTTTTTTTAATTTTTGCATGTTACATGTTATAGTTTGGACATGCCTTGCAACATCTCTTAACCACAGTCGAGTATTCGGACATCGCTGGATTGTCATTCGTGGAATGGGATGCGGTGTTTGTTTGTGACTATTTTATGGAAAACTGGTATGAGATTAAGTTATAATTAATATATTGTAATCATATTTATAAATGAACTATGATGAAGTTAAAATAATTCAAATTTTGTCTCCTTATATTTGATCGACAGGTTATACGAACCATTTATGTTACAAAAAATCAGTGGACATTATGAAACAAAACAGCCATTGCCAATTGAAATTATTGAGGAAATTAGAAAAATGAGATTGCACTTTGCTGGCTACAAACTATGTAAAGAGCTTTATTTGTCGCACTTGGATCTAGAGCTGCATTCCAGGTAAGCATCAATTTGACTTATAGGGAATTTAAAAAAATTTGATCTTAAATCCTTAAGTAAATTCCAAGTTATTTAAGAAAAAAATCTAACTTATGTTAAAATACACAGTGGAACATTTTGGGTACCAATGATGAAACGTCTGTGGCCAATGTATTTTGCGTTACCTCTTGAAAGAAGGGATGTTCACGTTTGTTCCTTCGAAGCTATATGGAGCGGAAATTGGGCGGCTGCATATTTCAGGTATATCTGCAAAGCTATATACGAACTCAAAGACATATCGAGTTCAATTTCTTACAGTTTATATTATTAGTACAATTATATTATCTCGAATCTCAGAATTTTTATATTATTGAAATAAGAAGCTATCTTATATCGTGATTGATATATTGCATTTATAAATATGTTGTGTCAATTGTAGTAAGATTTGGTCCGAAATGATTGCTGCCGACTTGTATACGGCTTTCCAAGAAATAGAATTCGATGACAAATTGGGGCAGAAGGAGATGGGCACGAGGTTCCGCGATACATTCTTGTCCTTGGGCGGCAGTTATCCTGCCGCCGAGGTGTTCAGGATGTTCAGAGGTAGAGATCCGAGCCCGCAAGCGTTGCTGGACAATCTCGGATTAACCGCACGAGCAATTAAAGAAGCCAAGTGATATGATTAGGTAATTGGAGATTGATATTATTTAGTAAAGTGTAAAGGAGCGAAATTTTGTATAGTACCTCGGAAATAGAAGAATTGATTGATGTAAACTCGTCGAATAAAAAAAAAATATATGTAATAAATTATTACTTATAAGATGTGCAAAAGAAATGTTTTTTTTTTTTTTTTTTTTTCCAGATAAAAATACACGAAAAATAAATAATTTTAATAAAATGTAACTTAATTCCAACAAAGTAAAATTAAATAATGTGAAATGCGTTATTAATTGAATAAATTCCATCATTTTTTATTAATTTCTCAATTATATTTCTACGCGTATAGATTGTCGGTAATAATTATCTACTAACGTTAATGAGTAAAGCTGTTTTATCAAACTTTTTAGAATTTATCTCGTATGATAATAGATGGCGAGTATGTATGTTGATATGGCCGACATGGCTAATTATTTTAAGTGCGTGTACAGTTTAATTAAATAATTAATTTGATTTATAGTGTAATTTAAATAACTTACTAAATCAAGGTACAATAAAAATTAGAGAGCAAATAAAAAAATATGAGAAAAGTAAAGGAAAATAAGACAAAACTATCATAAAGTTGTTAAAAAAATTTCCGCAAACGGAATACACATATACAGATCACTTGACAACAAGCAAGTATATTTTCATATTTCTCGGAAAGCTATCTGCTTCTCTTCAAGTAGAAGATTGTAATCTCTTGAATTATGCAGACTTGTTGCATTAGTTTTCATTTATATTATCTGTGAAAAACATTGTATGATCTTTATTATATCATTTTATATTATATGATTTTATTATATGATGTATAAATTATTAATTATTATTTTATATTTACTAATTATTATTTTATAGATATTTGTGTCCGGAAAATTGACAGCTTATCAAAGAATTTATAGTTGACTATGTCTACGATACCTCGATAGGGTTTCGGCTTTCGTTTTGAGATTAATCACTTAATTAAGAATCGCGGAGACAAACCGGATAAATCTTTTTTCGTCGGTCGTGTTTTCTTATGATTATCATTTAACGGGCAATCTTAGTTTCACCCGTTATATTACGGCGCGGTAGGTACGTAGGATTATGAGTCACCTTCTCCATATGAATACTAAATGCCTGACTGCGTCATTATCAGGCATCGCACGTGCAAAATTTATTTATGAGCTCGTTAATCATGATTATTTATAGCGTTTAAATTTATTTATGACGTCGATAACTTTTTATAAAATTTTACAAACGATTGAATTTACTGATCACGATCGGTTACAACGTCGAATCTAAATTTAGCATTGTAAAGAAATTCATTTTTATAGTGCTAAATTTAGAATCTAAATTTAGAATCTAAATTTAGCATTGTAAAATTTAGAATCTAAATTTAGCATTGTAAAAAAGTGGTTAATTTATTCGATATTTAAAAATTGGAAAAATAAGAAATAAGTTAACATGTATAAACAAACTGATATCATAAGAACAATTTTTTAGAGATAAAGAACGAAGTGTACTGAAAAAAAAATAAAAATGTTTCTGCCACAGTTCTATTTTTATTTTATAATCGCATTACTTTTATTAATATTAGTCTTATAAAATTTATATAATTTAATAATTATATAATATATAATTTATAATTATATACTTTATATCATTTTTTAAATAGTTGAAAACAAAACACATGTAGATGTGATTTTAAGGAGCGGGAATGTCAACTTATGCTTTTCTATTCGAATGTAGGTCTCGAAGATGTTGCTCTTCATGCAACACGTGAGACGTAGAAGGCGATGGAGAGGCTTCTCGGAATGCAAGCTTGACGACGACGGCGCAGCACTTTGCACCAGACTGTCTAATCGCGTCGAGAGAGCGCAAAGGAGATTTCGGCGAACAGCGGGGGTCGAGAGATCCGTGCTCCTTCAAGTCAAGTCCCCGATGACGCGCGTTTTCTTGCCAGTCCACTCTCTATCCCGACGCGGCATATTATATCTATCTCCGTGCGGTATATTATATCTTTTTATACTAGGTCTGGGAAAGTCCGCGCGATTTTAACGTAACATTATGTTGACTTACGTAACGTTACGTATTTCTGAGATAGCATGTTCTCTCTGAAGAAATATTACGGATTACCTAAAGGAAAAGTTATATCGAGATTATGTGTTGCTAGATTTTGTTCAAATTACGCTTAAACTATGTTTTTTATTCTTCTTTTTGATGTAACTCTCCTTTATATTTGTCTTGTGAGAAAATTTGTTGCAATATATAATCTAGATTCTAAAAATATATTTTCTATAGTAAATATATTCCGATATCTTAAAAAATTAATTACCGCGGGCTTTCTAAAAAGTATTATATTTATTTTACATATTTATATTAGTTCTGTTGTTTTATAAAATATTATATGAAATAATTTTATTAATAATTTATTTGTAATATTATAATTTGTTAACACTTAGTTGCATGAATCTTGTCTCCTGCAATAACGGAAGAAAAACAAAATATAAGAAATAAATCCGCATGTGTAAGATACTGATTCTCAGAAAAAGTTATACTCGATTACATATAATCAATCGTGCAAATATCTAGATAAGCCACAAGAATATAAATAGAATATTCTCAATACATTGTCTTATCTTCTTGCATGTAGCTTGTCTAAATATTTGTGAATGATAAGTAGTATATTTCGGAATATTGTCAACATCTGTTTTACGAAATAATTAAATATTTTTGCACATTTATTTATATTTGACGTATAAAAAGCAACAGTGAAATATTTAAGTTTTAAATGAAACGTTTAGCATTTCATATTTATGTTGCAGTAGAAAAGATTCTTTTTATTATAATTTAATAATTTGCGATTTCAATTTAACCTACATTTACATTAATTTGTCATTATCTTTTCTTCTAATAATCTATTCTTCTAATTTTTAAATATCTTTTACACGTATCAATTCTTGTTTAATTTTAAATATACTTTTTTATATTAGTATTATATATTTTATTACAATTCTTTAACTTTTTAATGGAAATGTAATTTAAATGTTTGTTATAAGAAGCAATATTTATTAATAAATATGCAATAATTATATGCAACAATTATAATACAGTATTTATTAATAAATATTTTGAAATTGTGACAGACGACGTTTGACAGATATTTTTTTTATAAAGATATCAAATGGGAAATGTCAATTTGAAATTGCTATATACTTTGTTTTCATATCCCATTCCAATTTTATTCCGAGGTACTGCGATAATTATGAAATTACACTTGTATAATAATACATATAATAATACATAATTATAATATTTTATACATGGTTTGTTTTCAGAGTTATAATTTACAAAAGTTGAAAAAACTCGGAGTAAAACAATTCACGGAGCACTCGAAGATAAAAAAGGCTAAAAATGCAAAATTGATCACGATAAATAGGATTACATCTCGCGTAACATTGTCGTTTCGGATTTTAAACGGAACCACTTCAAGTAATTTATCTCGTAGTACTGAAACTTAATTTCCTCCGTACTTTCCTCGAAGCAATCGTTCGCATTTGCGTATTTATAATACAAGCTCCCGCTCGTGTTTGCTCCGCTTTTGTGTACAAACACACGCCGACCGGCCGGCAGCGCGCGACCGAACGACGACGAAGTCGACGGAGGCAACAGGCGGCTCGTTCCGTAGACGAGGAGTGGGGGAAAGGGACGGGGTGGGGAGTCGGAGTGGGGGGGAGTTGCGTCGCGCCGCGTCGCGTTGCGACGTTCATATCAGTCAGTCCTCGGAGTTGGCGGCGCGTGTGTCGATCGTCCTCGCGTGACTCGGTTGCTCCCCCGCTCGAAACGGTCGATCACGTATTCGCCAATATACGCGACGCTCGAGCAAAGCGGTTGTAAGTGCAAATATTAACCTCGCCTCGAGAGATCGACGACTCAAGTCGGCGAAGGGGAAGCGGGACGGGGAGGAAGAGAACACGAAGCTCGCTGACGTTTCGAGTGTTTGACGTTCCCAGGTAAACGCGCTCCGTGTTTGACGATAAACACGAGCGTCGCGGAGATACGTTCCTCTCCGAAGAAGAGAGTTCCCGGAGCAGATTCGGCGACGGGGCATTGTTTGCCGCCGGCGATATGGTGCGCCCGGCTTCCGCGAATCCTGAATCTCGAGCGTCGCGCGGAATTTGAATTTCGCGACAACCCGACAAGTTGAAACTCGCAGCCAACTTCGCGCGACGTTACGCGTTGGTATGTGTGCCGAGACGAATTCGGAGCACGCGAAGTTGCCGCACTGATTGCGAGACGCGCAGTTAACTTCGCGCCGATCAAACGCGTGCCCGCCGTGGGAGATTCGGTGTTTACGATTCGCGTTATTTACGCGAATATAAGCGGGTAAGTCGCACGACGCCGAGCCCCCGACGCTCGAATTATCGTGAACTTTGCCGATGAGCGGCACGTCATCGCGAAGCGTTTCAATGACGCGACGACGTGCGAATTGTCGGGATGGGAAAACTGTGCGAGTGGCGAACCTGACGCGACCGTGTTGTCGATCGTGAATCTCGCGGATTTTATTCGATATATATCCACGAGGCGTGAATTTTTCTCGAGGACACGCGCTTTTCGTCCACTGATAAAGATATTCGATCGCGAGTGCCGGAGTGTGCTTTGATCAATCGAACGGAATCGAGAGAGTGCTGTGCGGAAATAATGAGAAGAAAAATGGAGATATCGACGACCTTCTTCATCTCGATACTGGCGGTCATCTGCCGTGGCAACGAACTCAAGGATTATTGTTCGATACACAAGTTCGATAATCTACCGGGTGGCCTGAGGTTCACCAAGGAAGTCGTCACCACGGAATACGCCAACGTGGGTGCGTTCAAGGCCCTCCACTGCTGCCTCAGGGGATACAGGAGCATCGAATGGTGAGTCTTGACATCCTTTTCTCTCGTACACTATGGAGTAAAAGTTTTGACGCGTTAAACTTTATAAATGTAATCATTCAAATATTAATAAAGAATAATGGAACATTTTGTATACATTGAGATAATTAAAGTGAGAAAATTTCAAAAAAGTAATGAAACGATGTAAATTGTGACAGTCTCAAGGATGAAAAATATTTTATTTGGAATTGAATCAATTAGAATATACTATAATATATAGTCTGTGTGAATTTATAATTCATTGAAATATATTTCTTATTTATCGTCGTATTTTTCAATCAATTTTTGTTTCCATAATAAAATATCTTTTTTATTCATTTTTTAATTTATATTTATTTGTTGCTCAAAAAGAACTTACAACATTTTTTATCGAATGCGTATTTGAATTTTTATTCAAATAGTGTACGAGATATATTTAACAATTTTAGTATATTATAATCTAGTATAATATTTATATTGCATATATATTGCATATATATTATATTTATATTTTTTGTGAGATTTAAATTATTGATGAGACATTTAAAAATATGATTAAAAGTATGATAATATTATCTACTGATTATGATATTATATACTTGTTTCTATTGAGTAAAATAATTTACTTGACAAATCAAATAAAAACATTAAATATTCGGATAAAAAATTACGCAAAATTAAATATTCAATAAAATAAAATTAAATATTGAATAAAATAATTTATTTGGCAAAACAAATAAAAATTTTAAATATTCGGGTAAAAAGATATCTCATAATTATTTAACGTTACCTTTTCTAATCTCATTTCAAAATTTGATCTTTCTTGATTATTCTATAATATACTTTTAATCTAATATTTATAGAAATGTCTCCAATAATTTTGAAATTTGTATAATAGAATAAATCGCTTCGAATTTTCGCGTGATCTTAGAATCGTTATCTATTAATACAGATAGAATACTCTTTTCTTTCCCTCTCGTTTCTCTCTTGGAGAGCAAATGCTCTTGCTCATTCTCCACCTTGCATTTTGCTTCCCCTTTATTCGTATATGATCCGATAGGTGATAAATGCGAATGTGAAAAACGAATCGAGTGCTGCTTTTGGCACAAAGGCTGCCAGCGGAAAGCATTTCGCATTATGCGAATGACATTTTGCTTTTAGCGCAAAGTATTCGCTTTATGGTCCAAGAGCACCTGCTTACATCTTCTGTTATCGTTGTATATGACACGTATCGATAACCCATTCACATAGCCGAGACCTTGTACAGGTCGATTCTAAAATAAGTCACCGATATAAGCGACTAGCGACACTTTTTCTTTTGATTTCTTTCGCAATCTGTTTTTATATTAAATGTCTCGATAAATCTTAAATATTAAATTTTGTGTAAAATAGATTTCGACTGAAATTAAATGAATAAGAATTTCGCTTTTTAATTTCATTCGGAAAATTTAATTAAAAAATCGAAAAACAAATCAATTAAAAAATCGAAAAATCAAGTTCTTTTCATAAATATGTATACAATTATTGATTTATCATAAATTAATAATAATAATAATAATAATATTTCAATAATATTTTAATCAATAAATAATTTAAAGGCGCCAATATTAATTTTAATAAATAATTTTAATAAATTTTTTTTATATATCAAATTGACGGCGCCTTTAACATCAATAATTTTTATATATTTTATTACCTTTTTCGCTATCGTTAATTCTCTTTGAAGGATATCGACTATTGGATTTCTTTGAAAAGTCTTCGTTCCAAGAGTCTAAATCGTTTCTAATAGCTTCCAATTTTATGCCTTTTAGATCCCTCGAGTTGTCCCTTTCACACCTACAATTGAGATCCTTGTGTATCCTTGCGACTCTTTATATCTCAAGGTATCTTATTCGCGTCATTTTTCGCGTCTGACCCGCACTTTTCTCATCGCAATATTTCCCGGCGGCGTGCTGAAAGACGGTGCATTAAAGATTTATAAAGCTTACGATGTCCGATACGTTACTTGTAAATTTCTGCGTACGTAGACGGAAGAAAAAAATTTATGGAAACTTCTTTGTTTCCTCTGCCGCGAAATGATTCGCGAATTCGCATTCCAACGTTTCGTTCGTTCATTTGTTGGCGCGAAATCTTTATTTCGCAGTCGCGATTCCGGAATCTTATTTTTCGCGGCGCGCCTTTACATTAAGAGTTCGTCTAATGCGGAAATAAGATGCGCATTACATTACAAGATGTATATCGAAATATCAGCCCGAGAGAAACGAAATCAAACTTTTTCCTCGGAAAATTCGTAATTTATCTTCTGGACAGTTTTCTACGACAGAAAAATATTTTTTCTCGCTTTTTTTCATAGAAAAGGATGAAAGAGAGGAAAAATTGTAAGGATGAGAGTGCAAAAGTTAGAGCAATAATATCAATCAGAATTTAATAAATTCATCGAGATAATAATAATGAAAAGTTCTAGTTTTTTTATAATTTCAAATTATATTTTTAAAATAATTTACATTATGATAATATAATATTCTATATAGGGTATTTTAAAATAACAGATTTTTATAATAATTATTTTTAGAATATTAAAATATTAGTGAATTTTTTGGAAAAATTTTACATTGGTTCCAAAGTAGCCATACTTTTTAATTAATCAACAAAGTTGAAAAAACTGATAATTTAATTGAACAAAATTATATAATAATCTATTTTAAAACGATCTTTTATTGATAGACATATATCTTTCGTTGGGAAAGAATTGGGTTATGAAAACAGGCTGTTTTATGAAACACCAGTTGAAACTGTGTGCAGATAGAGATGTTTGCCAAGTAAATGGCAACTTGTAGATAACTCGTGAGCTTCCAAGAATATTATATTATGCGAAATTTAGGACTTTGATGAGCGATAAAGCTGTTGCATCGCCATCGGTGATCGTTGCTTTGAGTAATTTTTACGATTCTTTTTTTTTTGTTTACGAATAGGACTATAAACAAAAAAAAATAAAACATTCTATTTTTATTTTTTATTTACTTTAAATTGTATTTATTTTCTTTTTGAACGATATTTCAATTTGTGATTTTGAAATTTTATGACGCAAAATAAAAACTTGTTTGCTTAAAATTTATTTATTTTTTTTATATCGAAATTTCTAAAAATATTTTGGTAGAAACGAGAAAAATCCGAAAATCTGTAAATTCGGGAAACGTGCGGAACCTGATCTTTTAGACTCAGATTTAGGATCCTCTTTAATCTCGCCTCGGTTCTATTTTCCTACGAATTACAACATACTATTTCGTGGTTTGCGACAGTTCCTCCGGTTTTAACACGAATTACAGGGCGTAAATCGCGTTGGGGTCGGAACGCTTATTTATTCCGCGATAAATCGAGGAGCGTTTCGCAAAGTGGAATAACGAGAAGCCGCGAAGGGTGGAAGCGACGAAAAGGACTAGTGATAGCAGTTCAAGATGGCAGGAAGGGTAGAGGAGCGAGGCGAGAGGGAGGGAGGGGGAGTTGCTGGGGGTTGGCGCTAACGCTTGACAAGCTGCCACCCCGTCTCTGTCGAGTAACCACAAAGCACTGAACAAAGGAATACCTCCCGAAGACTTTCTGGAGGATCCTTTGCGCGCGCGCTCGCGGGAACTTTATTATCCTGGAGGACAAAGTGGGACTTTACGAGGCCATTGTACCAAGCGGGATATGGTCTTCCAGGTGTCAAATGGTATATTTGTTCTGCGTATTCACATCGCGAAGGAGAGAGAGAGAGAGAGCGAGGGAGGATTCTCGAGATATGAGTTCTATATATTCTACATATGAGGGAGAAATATTAGACTCGGGAAATATTAAGTCGTTATTGGATTAAAGGATAGGCGAAAAGACTCTCTGTGAAAGAGAGAAAATAGAGCCTAACCTAATCTAAACACAATTGTGTATAAAAATGAGTGATCGGGAAAATTTCTTTACTTCAACGTCTATTGTTTATGTTTCTAATTATAATTTTTTTCAAGTTTTCAAATGTTTGAACTATATATTTTTTTTATTAATTTTCTTTGTTTTTTTGTTATTTTTATTCAATTTTTTATTCAATTTTTATTCAAAATTTTATTCAATTTTTTTTCATTATCAAGTCGTTTAATTCTAGACAATGAGTGGTTAAATATTTCATCGACTGTTAAATTATTAGATCAATTAACTTCATGCGGATAATTTCGTAATTTAATTTTATTAAAAATTTAATTAATAAAATCATTAGATTGTTGTATTTAGTTTCACTTGGAAAATCGAATTTGAGTTAATTATTAATTGATTCAATTATTCGACATCATTCATTCGTTAAAAGTCTATTTGATTACTCATTAAAAGTCTATTAGATTATTTATTAAATATTATTTTCAGTTAGATATAATATTATTTTAAATATTGTAATTCTCTTTCTTATTCACCAGACCACCAGATCACCGTTTAATTTTACTCCATTTTATTCCAAATTGTTAAATTTTGTTCAATTATCGACTTTTTCAATTTTGTCAGTTTATTAAATCAATCATTTTGAGGTTAATGTGAATACATATTCTACTTTATGAAATCGAGTAAAATTCTGTTTTTAGAAACTTTTTACATCTTTATTAAAAACATTATTATGAGATAGATGAATTTCTCTTCTGGGAATTTTCTGAATCTTTGATTTTTCAAAGTGTATAGCTTAAATCTCGTTTGGTTGAAGGATTTTCTTCTTTTTCTTTTTCTTTCCCGTGTTTTTTTTTCCTACCTAATACGTCTCTATCGGCCATGTCCATCTGCGGAGTCGGCGATGAACACGAACGAAATTATGCTTCGAATCGGCTTGATCGTCTCGATCGGATAGTGGATGGATAGCCTTGATTAAATTTCACGGAAAAAAACGCAGCCGCGATTCGCCGAACTACTTTCGTCGGTCGCTACCTTTTTTTTCCTTTCTTGCCTCCCTTCCAATCTAAGGGCGAGTGAGCTCTCGTGGACCGATGGAAAACTATAAG